GAACGCGGTACGGCTCCGCGGCGACCGCCAACCTCACACCAAGCTCGGCCAGGTTGTGGACAAACAAGTCCTGTGCCCGGGCCGAGTGGTTGAGGTTGGCCTGGAGGATCCGGATCCTGGGGGTGAACACTAGGCCGTGTCCATGGCCTCCCCAGGGCCGGATCCTCCCTCTCTCCCCTCAGCCGGCGCCACTGGCGCCCGGAATACATAACCCAACGAAACTTCCTAGATCCACAGGTCTAATCACTATCAAATACCAGGACTGGATTATTACCTCAGAATATTTATCCCCAAATGCTGAACCTCAAATAGTAAATAAATTCTGTCGATATATAGAAAAAATAAGTCGTAAATACAGTAAAGCAAACATGATTTTTATCGGAGACTTTAATGCTAAATCCCCCCTCTGGGGTAGCAAAACTACAGATATTAGAGGTAACCTTTTTACAAACTTGATCGCACAATTAAATCACACCATAATCGAGCCTACAGGATACCACTCATACGAAAGAGGTAAAGTAACATCTACAATAGGGCTTTGCTTTTGAATCTTGGCAACCTAGTTACAATATCTCAGCCATAATACCAAAAATTTACACCGCCTCAGTTCACTATCCACTCATACTAAACATCCACTCTATAAACATAATAAACACCCCTAGATATATACACAATTATGCCAAATGGGACTCTTTACAATTTACAAATACCTTACGGAGAAATCTACAAGAATCGCAGGACTCCCCCTTTTATATATATTATGCAATTAAAAATGCTGCAGCAGCTTCTGTCCCCCGAATCAAATTAAATAACAAATTCAAACCAGTATTCTGGTGGAACAGTGAAATCAAATCACTTAGACAAGATGCAAACAAAGCTCGCAGACGGATGTTAAGAGCCATCGCTAAAAATGCCCCTGAAGTCCCAGCATTAAGATCTGAGTACAAAGTAAAAAGAAAACTTCTAAAAATAGCTATTATCCGAAGTAAAGAAAAAGTATGGAAGGAATTTATTAACACATTAGAGGAAGATCCGTGGGGCAAGCCTTATAAAGTACTAGTTAAAAGAACCTTAAAAAATAAAACCAAAACAGAAGATCCGTACTATAAAAACGAAACCGAAATTAATAATATTATCAACAAACTGTTTCCCAATAACATTAACCTGGAAAAAAGCAATAAATTGGATCCGTAAGTATAATCTGAACTTTAACAAAGCAGAAGAATATATTATTAAACATATTTGCCCGGAGGCTTGTGAGGACAGGGATCCCAACCTAAAACTACTAGAAAGGGTTGATCTCGACACTATTATAAAAAATCTACAACCTAACAAAGCACCGGGCCTTGACCATATCACCAACACCATGGTCAAATATACACATCAAATTTACCCTAATCTTCTTAAAACACTATTCTCCAACATTTGGAAAGCAGGCTTTCTCCCACAGGAGTGGAAAATAGCTAAAGTAGTACTTATTCCTAAAAACGGAAAAAAAGACGAATTCCGGCCTATATCCCTAACGTCGAATATAGCTAAAATATGGGAAAAAGCTTTAGCTTCCACTTTCTCAAATTTCCCCAATACTACCTTTCACCCCATGCAATGTGGCTTTACAAAAAATAAATCCACTTTAAACGCACTGGAAATAGTTAAAAAGCAACATTTACATTGTAAACCTAACTATAAAATCTTAGTAGCTATGTCCATCGACGTTACCAACGCTTTCAATACTATAACTATAGACAGCATAACTAAACAACTAGTCAAAAGGAAGCTCCCATTTTGGTTGATTCATCGCATTTTTGACTTTATCTTTGACAGATATATCATGATAGAAAACCATGAATATAACATTTATAAAAAAGTTAAAAACGGAGTCCCACAAGGTTCTATACTTGGACCCACTTTATGGAACTGGGTATATGATGACCTAGTCGCCGCAATAGCATTGCATCAAAAAACAATCCCTGTCGCATACGCGGATGACTTACTAGTATTAGCTTCCGCCTATCACTGGACCGATATTGAATACTCACTCTCAAATGCGTTCAAAACCATCCAAACCTGGATGGCCCATAACGAATTACAAATTGCTGCAAATAAAACATCAATAATAGTCATAAACGGTAGATCATGTAAATCTAAATTCTTTATTAATATTAATTCACAAAACCTTCCAATCACAACCAGCTTCAAATACCTAGGAGTTGTATGGGACAATAAAAATACATTTAGTCTGCATATAAATTAAATAACTACCAAAGCTAATATTCTTGTCAACAACTTGGCAAGAATCCTACCTAATGCCTACGGACTAAATCTAAAAAGAAGACAAATTTACTACCATGTCTGGAAATCGATTATAGCCTATGCATCCCGCATATGGTATTCCACTGTAAATAAAGGCAATAACATCAAAACATTAAGACAATCACAAAAGGGAATCCTCCTACGCGTCACAACAGCCTATAGAACTACATCTCGTGACAACTTATGCATAGTAGCAGGATTCCCTCCTATCGAAATCGAACTAGAATGCTTGTCATGGTATCGCGAACAATACATCTCAGAAATCCAGAATGAGGAAAACTCAGACGATACCTCAACCAGCATCCAACCGAGCAGGAAACTAGTTTTACAAAAACTAAAAAGGAATAGAGCGTTAGACATGTGGGCTGAGTACATAAACAATGTACAAAAACCCTCATGGACTAAAATATTATTAAAGACTTAGACAAATGGATAAACCGAAATGAAAAAATGATCTTGAACCACTTTGCAATGCAGATCTTCACTAACAAAGGGTGTTTTGCAAAATACCTCTATACAATTGGAAAAAAGACCAACCCGTTATGCTTCTTTTGTCAAGAAGAGGACTACGCCGAACACACCTTCACATCATGTCATCAATGGATACCTGAAAGAACCAATTTACATACAATAGTAGGCATTTTTAATGCAGACAACTTTACTGAAAAAATGATCCAAAATATGACTAACTGGACGGCATTCATAGATTATATGACCACAGTAATTAAAAAGAAATTGCACCACGAGAACAGCATTCAGCGTCTAGCAAGAAAAAGAAGAGCCTAAAATAGGAAAATAACAGGTAAACATCCTATAATCAGTTGAGTCAAAATCCATAAATAAAAAACTTTTAATATATAACAAACAGTTAGGACGAGGCACAAAAGTTTCGGTTGAAGTAAAAACATTTTTTTTACCTCGAAACACCCGACCCTTTGACTCAACTGTATAAGTATACTTTACATCAAAGCATAATAGAAAACTTATTATCAGTTAGTTAGAACGCCAAACTCAAGAGTTTCCCGATATATGTTGTGCATCTCCATTCTCCGCAAACCTATACGTACTATACGGGAAACAAGGAAAAAAGATGAAACACAGTAGATCTTAAATTATAGAATATTACATTTTAAATGGACAATACCATCCAATAATTGGTCCTCCCCCCCCCCCCC